GCTGTATATATTAGGTATGCCAGATACTTAGCCAGAGCTATATGTACTCACTTGGTCAAAATGTTGACAAAACTTTCGGATCTCCAAGGGGTTCTTTGTTACTTCTGACAACTTCAGAGCTCTTTTGTAAAGGAATACTAACAGTCTATGTTTCAACGAGTTTATTGTGTTTTCTCTATATGGTCTGTAAGTATTATTTCCAGAATGAGATTGAACAATGCTTGAAAGCAGGAAACTGTCGTCTTCAAAGCAGAATCTACCAATCTTTCTTATGTCAACAAACATACCATCGATTATATGGAAGACATGAATGGTTTGATGTTGAATTGACAGTACTGCTAGGGTGTCCTTGTATAAATAGAGCCCTTGATTATGTGAGAGAAATATTTTATCCACCTTGAATTGTCTAGAATCACATAATCTCCCGTGTTGTAAGTCCACGATGTGTAGTGAATAGTCTTCCAAAGGTGATCGTGGATTGGGAGTAACAGCTTCATTATTGGTGTAAATTTCGTAAAAATGTGGTCTCAAATCTTCTGGAATGTATGCAGCAGATCCAACAATAACATATCTTCCGTCATCAGTAAATAAACTGCATTCTCTATTTAACTGTTCACCACTTTGAACTACGTTAACAGTCCATTTAGGTCGAAAAAATCTCTCAAATACCTGATTGCGGATGTGGTCACTTTCAGGGTCATTTTTGTGACCAATATATTCTCCTCTGCAGTTCTCAACCAGATCAGCAGCAGCTGATGAACCTTGGTATTCGTACACTTCCAGAGATGTTTGATCAGATGAGAATGCAATAAAATAGTGGCCATTTGGACTAAATTTTCTTAAAAAACAAGGTGGTTTTTCAACGTTAATTATGGTAAAATTCGGAAATACATTTTGGTGAAAATATCTAGCAACATGGAAATGTGTACCTGGTCTTACAGAACCATAAGTTTCTCTTTTAATCAATCTATTTACAATATTTTGCGGAGGTATTTTCCTGGGTTTTAATACATCACTAGTTATCATCATCCCATGAGAATCCGATTGAACGAACGAGGAAAACCATAATAACTTTACAAAAACCAGAATTGGCCTATGATGCTAGACGCTGCGTAATAATGATTAACCTCAAATTAGAAAACGCCGGACACATTGCAATCGGAAAGCGTCTGAATATAAGAAACCTATACTGTAAAATGTATTTTTACACATTTTGAAGAATAAATGTCCCTAGCATAAAATTATTTCATAAACAACTTAAAATATTTATTTTAAATTAATTAATCAGGATTATTTACAAACAAATACAACCTAAAACTTATTTATAGAAGAAATTTGGTCAATTCAATTGTTTCTTCTTCTTCTCATTTGGACGACACAAAGAGGTCAAAGAGGACCTCTAATTAAGCCAATAAAAGACGTGAAAAGATATACACCGTTGATTTTAAAGCTAACTAGCCTGATATTCAGAATGAAAACTTATTTCTAATTTTACAAATAAATGCGTTAAAATTATGCTTGCAGTTTAACTAGGGCTTATAAACGGCTGATGCTAATATTTACTTGATAATTATTTTTCAATTGCCAATCACTGATCCATGCACTATATTATAAGCATTAAAATGAAATCTCACACAAAATCGGTCACCTTATTACCAAAGCTGCGTTGTTGACCAGCATAGCTGGATAAACTGAGTAATTTTTTTAATATAAATATTAATTATTTACAACAACAAAATAAAAGTATTTTTTAAGGAAATAAATTTGAAAGATTCAAAAATAAAAATAAAAACCTGGCGGGTGATCGTGGTTGGGTTGTACGAGTGCCAAATAGGTACAAGATCCTGCGCGGAAGGTGGTTGGCATCATCAGCGGTCATTCATTGGGTATTCCGTGGACATCTATACAAGATAGGAATGTTGAAAGCATCTTATGTAGGAAATGTGGCGAGGAGGAGGATACAGCCTTCAACGTGATATTAGCAAACATCATCTAATTCTGAATTCTAGTAAAAGCAAATGTATGGAATTATATAACAGGAAGAAGCCTGAGCCACCTCCAGTATTGACCTTGAACGGGGTGCCACTTGAGAACTGTAGTAAACCCAAATACCTGCTGAGCCTACACATTACAGAGGACCTTAATTGGGGAACACATTTCGATGCAATACGGGCCAGACTGTCATCCGTCATCTACCTGCTGTTTAGACTATAAAAGCTGCTGGTTGACTCCGAGATTCTCCTTAAGCTTTACTATGGCTGCTTTAATCGCATAATTTCATGTGGTTTGGTATTTTGGGGGTGGTTGTAGTATAAGGCAAAACGAAGTCCACAGACGGACACACTGTAAACCTCTGTTCCAAGAACTGAACATTTCTCACACTTCCGTCTCTCTTTATAATGGAATCCGCATTACTCGTTAAGAAGAATCTCAATAGTGTTGTTACTAATAGTCTGATCCATAATAATTACAATACAAGAAGAGCAAAAAATCCACATCCATCTCAAAATACATTCCACCCTTGCAAGCAAGAGCCCTTACTCCCATAGTAGCCTATTTAAATTTACATCAAATTGCCTCAGTACATCCAAAGAGCCTTCAATAAAAAATTTCAATTTATAATCTGTTAAAAACATATTTAAGTCAAATAGCCTACTGCAATGTTGATTAAATATATTTAGGCCATATATGCATTCCCGAAGAGGAATTGAAACCATAGATAATGTATATAAATAGCAAGACAAGTAAAACCTTATGACCTCGTCGCTGATTCGATACCAGTGGGAAATACTCCAAGTATCCAAGTATTTATGTGCCCAGCCCTACAAGGTCTACCTATGAGAGCCCTTGGCCTATCGACTGGAGATCAAAGGGAAGAACAGGTTACCATACAGACAAAAGGATCTCATGGTTCACCAAGGACCTGGGATTTGACGGAGAATGAGGACCTGTGAGTGGGTGTTGAATAAGCTGTTTCAGCTGTGATGCAATCCCATGGTAACGTCTTGTAAGCCTGGTCCTCTGTTAAAAAAAAATAGTGCAAAATAGCGTCCGAAATTAATGATTGTTTAACTCATTGATATTTACATAGGGAATGTATATTGGGTGGGAATTGGTATTATGATGAATAAAAGCACTATAAAAACTGCATTACTGTACTTGATACTTTTAAGTTCTCCTTAGTCCTTGCCCACTGATCCTTGTCCGTCTGGGAATAAATCGGCCGGGTCTTTATCTGTCGCTTTTACCTTAGACAAACCAACACAAGGGAGTTAATGTTTTGTTTTATCCACGATTTTACCCTGCTCCAATTTTTACTGGATTTTTATTAGTTATTTGGAAAGTAATGTAAAGTTAAGTTGAAAATGGATTGTGAACAAATCATTACTGCATTAATATTTTCCAACGTCGGAGAAGAAAACCATGTCCACTATGGGTTCATCTATAAGAACCGCGAGGAAGTGGGGCTGTTTAAAACCTCGGGATCGATCACACCCATAGGTCAAATTATATCAACAAAACTCCCACTTAATATCTAGGTATATTTAACCATTTAACTCAAGGACTAAATAATTTAAAACTGTATTAACAAAATACATCAAAACTATACGTGCAACTAACTACACTCGGGGACGGCTCCTGGATGTCTAAAATCACGACCACCTTTTACTCCATGTCGCGGCCTGGTAGAATTGGTAACTTCGCAAGTAGTGTTGTTTATCGCCAGACGTCCCATAAGATAACATGGCAGACAGGTGAAACCAGCTCATTTTAATTCACGTATTATGGATTTAATTAAATAAAGTAAAATATAAACTATTAACATACATTTATTAAAAGACTGAAAATAAAACATATAGAATTGAAAACCAAAACAATATTGTATTGAAAATCTGTTTCCGTACGTTTAAAATGGAGTCAATATTTAATAGCCCAGAAACCAGGGTTTCGCATTCCAAAAAAAAAATAGACAAATAAGGGTACAGTACCATATTAGCTGCCACCAAACAAAACCGTTGTAAAACAGTAATTTGCGACGTTTCCACTTTGAAGGCCTTGGAGTTTAAGGTGGGGTATTTCTGTAACTTCCTAAATCGTTCCTACGATCCTAATTAACGATAAAATATGGTAAGTATGCATAGACCTTTAAAACAATTTTTAAGATGCGGAAACCACCGAAAATTGTTATTTAGTGTGGATTGTGCAAGTACAAGTCATTCATTCATATGTAGTCTACCGAACCGAGGGTTTCCCCTCCCCAACCAGGAGCTGGCCTCTCAGTCTCTTGAGGTCTTGAGGAGACGATATGGCTGTGTGCAATCTGGGAAATCAAATAATCGGGGACCTGTTTGTAAACGGCTGGTCTGAAGCACGGCCGCCTTTAACTACCTCAAGGCCCCTCGCCCACAATACGATTTTGATCGCCCAACACTGTGTCGTCGTAGTTAAAGGTGGCCGTGGTGTCGTTTGACATTAACGTGTTGTGTATGAAGAGCGAGCGATATTGCCATAGATAAAACATACTCCCTTAGTAGATTTCTCATCTTTATGGAACAGCTGAAGACAATTTTATTGTTAGTTCTGTACGGTTTATGTAGAGGTCGTGTTTTGTTTACAATTTGTTTCCCGTTATTACAGCCCTTTAAAACCTCGTTTAACCAAATAATACGATCTAATTATAAACAATAAATTGTCCCCTAGTTATTTAACCAAACAGTAAAGCACAAATCAAGAAATTAACCCTAAAATAATAGAAACCAAATTTTGTCGACACTAGCGCTCAGTGTGGCGTACATGAACTAGACATGAAAAACCAGCTTCAAAATTTACAATGGGATGAGAAGTCTACTTGTGTTGGTTAGTTTATCTATGGTCTATGATATTGCGTTTTTATTGTCACATATTGTTTGCTATGCAATGAGCTGTAGTTAAAGGCGGCCGTGGCTATAAGCTCAGTGATATCATGTGATATCATGGTGATATCTTGATTATTTCTTCTGCATGCCTTTGCTTCCAAATTTCCAAGTTTCTTTTGCGCATCCTTCTTGCGCATGATTTTTGGAATCGGATTCGGATTTTGTATTATTTGGTTTGGATTTGGGTCGATTCGATTATGGCAGGCGAGAAGTTCGGTGTGTGAATAAATATTGTTGATGTTCAGTGGTACAAGGATGCCTTAGTACCATTTTTTAAGTTTGTATTTTATAATTTCTGTGTCTTTAGAAAGTAAAGGTGATATATTTGCTGTAAAATTGTTACCAATGCTGAAACAATTGCAAATGGGCCTTCGAGCGTTTATGCTACTGGCTTCTCGAGTGTGGACTTGTATTTGTTTTCTAATCAAAAAGAAGGTTAGAGCTGTAAGTACCTTACACGACTAAGTAAAATTACTACTTTAGACATTGAAGTAGATTTTTAGAGGTATTTACGATACTGATGTATTGTTGTTGAAGTTTTTGATGTTTGCTTTTGGTAGCCTACTTATCTCCTTTAGCTTTAGCGCACTCAGCTATTCCAGTCTTCTCACTCCTGATAATATGTAAGTTTCAATAGGCCTAGCCTACAATGGTTATATGGCTTACGAGATTCCAAATAGCCTACTTGATGATGATTGGGCCTTGTCTAAGATGAAATAACTCAACAGATTCAAGCTTAAAACTTAGGATAGGCGTAAGTTAGGCCCAAACTTAGCCCAATTTATTCTAGGCTAGGCCTATGTTTTATTTGGTTTAGTCCATTGATAACTTACTTGAGACTGTAAGTTACAGCACAAGCTAAGCTTGTCACCTGGCAATCTAAATCCATTGTCCATTTTTTATACCTGCCAATCTGGTATCTAATTTAGCCTGGGTAGGCCTACCTCCCTAAGTTATCCAATCTTATTGTCATTCTGAACCAGACCCGTCCCGATTCTGTCAAGACAGTCGATTTTGGCTCCTAGGCCTAATGCCTGTAATCCGGCGGGAAGGGTCCACGTACCGATTCCTCCCTAACCTGAGGTGGCAACCCTGTTCTGAACTCAATCCAAAAATAACTTAACTTAAAGGCTTTACATTGATAGCCTAGGTCTAACTTAACCCTCCGAGCGTCACTCGTCGAAAAATCGACGCGCGACACACTTTGTGTAGTGTCACGCGTTGATTTTTCGGCGCACGAACATCGTTTACGGCGAAAACTCGATGACTGACTGAATCGGATTGAACTGGATCGAGTTAGGTATCGTTCTTTTCATTATATTCTACGCTTTCTCCAGAGTTCTGTCTCTAAGCGCTTTATGTTCTCCGAGCCGATCGTAATTGTAGCAGACAGCTGACGTGCGTATTTGTAAATAGCTAGGTTACCCTCGGACCGATGACTGATGCGTTTTATTACGTTTATCATTGTTTTAGTGTAAAAAATCAAAAGTAGTGATATACGTGGTGCATTATAAGAAGATTTAAGTGATTTTGAAGGGCTGGTTGATGATCCTGAAGAAGTAGGTAGTGATATTGATGTAAATTATCAGCCAGATTCCTAGCTATGGTTAGGCTATGCATTCTTAGCTAAACACTATGTACTGAAATCTGTTTTTTGCCTATAACTTATTTATTTTCAAATCTACTTCCTTATATTATTATATATTTGTAATCCTCATAAAATTTAGAACAAAGTGGCTATTTTCAAATATTTATAGGCCTATAATTTATACAATTTCATTGAGCGCGAACTTATTTTTTTTTTTTGAAAATTTTCCAAAATATGGGGGGGGGGGGAAATGAGAAAACCCCATTTTTACCCCATAAAACCCATGTTAAACCCTGTTCCCATGGTCCGATCATGCTGGTTCGCGAACTCATTCAAGTTTATTCCGCCTTACACCTTCACACCAAATATGATCAAAATTGGACAAAAATTACTCAGGTTATCGTCTAAACGGACACATATATATATAAACATATATACGTACCTAAAAATTTGAACGAATGGTGGTTTTGGCCTTTAAGGACATCAAAATGAAAAAGTAAATCGGTCCCAGGCATAGGTCTCACCAGGAGACATTTGGTGTAATAGCTTCCCTATAGGGAAATTCGCTAAAAAGATAATTAATTTCTGTTTTTGCCAAAATGTTTGTCTATTTAATACCTTTAAAATGATGCATAACATGACATATGTTTACATTTGAAAATTAGAAGAGATTAGAACTAGTGACCCTCAGTTTTTGGCACACTCTGTATCGGAAAAAAGTATATTGAAAAATATTTTTTTTGTTAGGTATTCCTTGGGGTTGGTTTAGCTGGAAATAATTACAATTTTATTTCATCCTTATACAATTAGCCGTTTTTCCTTAATAAATTTGAGACACCTTTACGTCGGCCTATATAAATATATGAATTTGAACGGATGGTGTTTTTGGCCTCTAGGGACCTCAAAACGAAAAAAGCAAATCGGTCCTGGGTCCAGGTCTTACCATGAGATCTACGGTGATAGCTTATTCCCTATAGGCTACAGTAGACTCCCTCTTATCCGGACACCTTTTAACCGGACTACACTCGGCGGAACCGGACAATTTTTATCAGCACATCTGAATAACCGGACTAGATCGGCAGGAAGACTGAAACAACTGTTCTCGTGGGAAAGATTTGAAACCAGTGATCACGTGTGTAAATACGCTCCTAAATTTAAGTCAAATATTGTATAGGCCTACAGTATGCATTTAAATGGTCCGTTTTAACGAGTTTTTGGGGACGTCGGTTTAACCGGAAAACCCGTTATCCGGACTGGCCTCGGTCCCGAGGAGTCCGGATAGGAGGGAGTCTACTGTATGGGAAATTTGCTAAATATTCCCTTTATATGGGAAATTCGCTAAAAACAAAGATCATAACTCAATTTGATGTTCAGATGGAAAAATTTAGAAACGATATATTAAATAAACTGAATCAAAATCGATACGGAATAGGCCTATATTGATATTTCATCTGATAACATATCACAGTTTCTCTGTGGAACTGTTGACGTACGATGATTAATCTTACTAATATTATAAATGTGAAAGTTTGTGTGTTTGTTTGTTTGTTTTTTTGAAGTTCAATCATGCATTAAATATTGGATGGATTGGGCTGAAATTTGGCAAGATGATAGCTCACATTCCTGATTAACATATAGGCATATTCTTATCTCAAAAATCCTTTCTGGCTCCGCCCCAATGGCTCTGTAGTTCCCCATGTTAACCTTATGAGTATTCATTTTTAAAGGAAATTGAAGTATTTAGTCAGCTGTTTCAACTAAAAAAGGTGGTTCTATGATATGCAAAAGCATTAAAAGGTTTATAAGATTTACCAACAGGGTGCAGCACTATTATTATTTTTTTTTGCATTTATGAAAACAGCTAATTTGAACTAAGCAGCAACAAAAAACTGTGATACGCAATGAGAACTGTCAAAGTATGATTGTTTACAGTTATGTTTATGTTTTTTAATTTCATGAATAATTTGTGATATTTTGCGAATGTTTAATGATTTATTTTTCTCTATTGTTTAGGTGAAGTGGTAGAACATTATGGCTATTGTCGATGTGTAATACTAAAGTGAACCGTAAATTTAAAGAACCAAATTTTATCAAACTGTTATTTTGTTCTTCCCCATTGTAAACGGAAAGCTTGAGTAGGCCTATACCTATAACTGCAATAAGCATTATATACTTATATGACAACCCCGTACGAAGGACGGGTACTCTGCTAGTCATTTATAAAGAAAACCGCTCAATAGATATTTCCCTATTTGTTTGCCAAGAGACTGTTTTATGATAGGCCTATATACAGGCTGTCCCAAAAGTCCCGGACCGGTTTAATATTTTCTAAACGACAACAGATAAATCAATAAGGTTTGGTACATCAACACCACACCTAAAAATCTACTTTTTTAGGGAAATATAAATTTTCTGTCACATCATGGGGACGTCCCGCAAGGAGTCAGAAGGAAATCTTAATAGAAGCATAGGTTGACATGTACATCAAATTAAAGGTCTTTACTAGCAGAATATAATGCCGCAAATTTGAACTGAAACGGACAACCGAGTCAAGAATGACAGTGGTTCAAAATTCATTTAATTTGCATTGCTATTAGACGCTTCTTACTCCTCGGGGGGCACAACCTTAAGAATCGGAAGAAAATTGTTAACGTAAGCATAGGTCGATATGCACATCAAATTAAAGGTTTCACTATTAGATTACAATGCCGTAAATTCAAGCTCAAAAGAACGCCTGAGTAAAAAATGGCAGTCTTCGTTCAAAGATTCAAAATGGCGGATTCAAGAAATCTTTGAACGGCTGCCATTTTTTATTCAGTTATCCGTTTGAGTTCAAATTTGCGGCATTATATTCTGCTAGTAAAGGTCTTTAATTTGATGTGCATATCAACCTATGCTTCTATTTAAGATTTCCTTCGGACTCCTTGCGGGACGTCCCCATGATATGACAGAAAATTGATAGTTTCTTAAATAAATGATGAAGATGGTTTTTGTTAACATTTATTTTGTAATTTCTAATGTTTAATCTTAAGTAATTGTCCGTGATATCAAATTAGGTACTATAATTGAATCTTGTATATTGACGATTTTACTGTACTTGCCAGGTGAATGGGACTGCACATTTTCTTAAATTTGGAAACTGGTCCATATTAAGTTAACTTAAGATAAGTTAATTACAATAACTTAAAGTCAGTGAGCCTGTTGTCTAGCCCATGTTTGGTGTTGTTTCTGTTTATTGTGCGCATATCTTTGCTTGTGGAAATTTTTTACGCTGATAAATCCAGCAACTTGCTAAATCACCGCAAACACCAAATTGCACATATTAAACTAGCCTGTGACAACAAAAATCCAAGTAAACTTACCGTATCATAAGACAAGACGACAAGTGTCTACTTGTTTTTTATTGTTGAAAACTATTATTTCAGAATCATCTCAATAACCTAGCCTATGTAATAACTAAATTCTTTCAAATAATTTAGTCTTGTAAAGTTAAAACCAATAAGTGTTATAGCAAAATTTCATAATGTTCACATGTAATGTAAGTTACACTGTTCGTTAATCTAATAAAGCATTTCCAAACCTGTACGCATATAGGCTACCCCTAATGGAAGGCTAAGCTGAGACCACTGCAGTGGTACGTGGTGACGATCTAAGTAGGCTAAGTTTAATATTTCAGGATTGTTAGGACTACATTAGTGCATTGCTTCACCACAACTGTTTAAAATCAGCAAGACCTAAGATCAAGGAGGAGGTAGTTTTGTTAGTTTAACAAAGGTTTAACACAGTAAACCTGAGTACCCTGAAATCAAAGCACTCTAAAGTAATATTAGCTAAATTAAAACTCTTGCATCCAGTG